ATGAATGCAGAGAGTAAGTGAAAATGTAGTTGCAATGGAGGATGAACATTTGAGTAATCATGTGGAATTAGATTGCTTTATCACCATTATTTTTGTCTTACTGTATTGCTTTTTAGCACTTTTTAAATAATTGTTTATTGTATACTGCTTTTAATTATTTCTTTCTGGGGAAAGTGGCATGCAAGTGTTTTACTCTGTTTTATTTATTTAAAGCATTTTAATGCCACCTCATTATTATTTTTTAGAAATTTGGGATTGTAAACTCTCAATCTTCTAAAATGTATAGAAGATTAATAGTTAGGTAGGCAAAAAGATCTTATCAGGCAATCCTATGTCAAGTTTCCAATTGGATGATTTTTTTAAGGATAAAACAACTCTCTAGCTCCAGCCCACATGAGCTGCTTAAAGGAGGATGGGAGGCACTTCAGAGAGTGGTTTTGCTCTCTAAAGCCCCCCCTGGCCTCATTTAAAAGCAGGCAGTGCAGGATGTAAAAGAAGGTCACAATACCTTTAGTAAGTGGTCAGAATGTGAGGGAAAGAAGGTTCTGCTAAGCTTCAAGGGGACGTTTGGGCAAGTTATGATGGAATAGGCAAGGGGGTGAGTGAGGGGTAAACGGAGGAGGGGTTAGCCAGGTGGAGGGGATGGAGGGCTGGAGGGATTGGTGAGCTGAGAAAGTGTGGGTGGCAGCTTCTAGTTCATCCCATATTTTCTAAAAGCTTGATGATGAAACAAAACAGCCCTGACCTTCTTTGATAATGAACATTTAGCATTAGACATGTGGTTCGAGTAGAGGAAGAAACACACACCATTCTCTGCAATCCTGCACACACTAGTGCACACAGTCTTGCACAGTCTCAAACTCACCTGTAGAAGTGCAAAGCTCTGAATCTTTGTCATCACCCAAACACCAGTGATTTGCAAGCAGAGCACCTGCAATAACATCCATGCAGCATGCTTATAATATGTGTTAACAAGTAAACACAAGGGCAGAGCAATGATTTAATAATTCTCCTAGCCTACTATTTTTGCTTCAGCCTTTTTGGACCGTCTTAAGTGTTTTCTAGCAATCCCTGGTAGTTTCCAATTATGCAAAAAATACACATACAGATGAGAGTCGATGTAAAGCCATATGATTGCCAAGTTTCCTATATGTCAGAGCACCTCCTATTCTGGGTGCAAAAGGGTGCATGGGGTTTGAAAGAGATTAAACAAGCATGTGCGAATGCAGAGCTGTGGAGAAACCAATTAAATTGCCCTTCATACTGTTTCATACTGTTCCTTCTATCAACACTTCTTTAATCTGTACATTTACATTATGTTGTGTAACAGTCATTCTTAAACTGAAATTATTGATTTTCTTGCAGATAGTACTAGAACAAGAAGAATTTAGATGTTGAAGAGGAAGGCCTTATTTCAGTTTCTTTTTTCAAATGTATGTTGAAAACAGCTTGGCTTTTCTGCAGTGCTGGGGGGCAATCCTATCATAAGATCTAAAGACATTAGGATGTAGACATTAGGATCTCTCCCTCAGTTGGTCTCACCACGCAATAAGTCTCTCCAGATCAAATAAATATATGCTTATCACAGCTCAGCTAGTTAAACTGAGGACACTTTAAGTCCCCCAGAAGGCTGTTGCAGGGATGTGGTAAGGAGCAGGTGACTTAGACTGGAACCTAAGCTCATTCAAATCAGTCTCGAGTCCTAGCAACCTCACAAAGAACAGTATTTTTAAGGTTTGTTATTCCACTCCCTCACTTAGGCAGAGCAGCAGCCCTTCTGTTGAAAATGGACTAGATCTGGTGTATCTTAAACTCAGCTTAACTGGTGCCGGTATGCTTTGTGCAATCTTCTTCTGCGTAGGACTTAGAATCTTTACTGGAAACTTCAAAGAACCTGTCCTCATACAGTTTGCCACATTCCCAAAACTACAGATCCAGACAAAATTGTTGAGTTTTTTCTTTTTTGGTGTTTGTGCGTGTGTGTGTGTCAAAGTTTTACGATCACCCATTCCCCGCCCTGCTGTCCACCACCGCCAATCGCGCTGATCCCCCTCTCACACAGGCACATGCTCCCTCACATGCTCCAGAATTTTCCTGATAAAACATGTCAGTTTCACCATCTCATCTAAGTCCATTAATTTTAACAACCACTCCTCCATTCTTGGTAATGATAAGTCTTTCCATCTTTGACACACACACAAATGCACAATCCTAGGAAAGCTCTGATGGGAATTATGTAGTTTAATTTCCCAGATGTTTCAAGAGGTTGACCATATCCAATAATTCCCTTCCCAGTTTCCCAAACTTACAGAGAACCCAGAAGAGATTCATCAGGGCAGAGCAGGAGTTGGTTTGCCAATCTGATGTTTGTCCACTCTTCCCCACCTCTGACTCTCAGCTCCTTCTACCTCTCTCACACATGAGACGGAAATCACCACGATTTTTGCAGCATGCATGCTTCTATCCCCTCCCCCAGGGCACACCCTCAGATGTGGCTTCAGCTACGACTCAAGGATATATAATTTTATACCTTTCCTTCTGTTGAACTATTCAGCATATCTATGACCCTCAGGCACATTCATTTAAAGATAATATTTGATGGTCAGAAAGGCAGCTTTTCATCCGTTATCCTGTTTACCCCCAACCAGAAACCCCTCTGAAAATAAATAGATTAGTTCACATGATAGAGAGAAGATTCAGACAGAAGATTCAGAAGATTCCTTCTAAGGATATAAATAGGAAACATTTTTTCAGGATAAAATGAGTGGGGCTCTACCCCAGCAGCTAATGCCCAAGATGCACACCCATGTAGCATGGCCACCCCTATGGCCTACAAAGACTGCATTGAGAGACCTCATGGGCCAAGAGTATACCACTCATTCCTATTCTAGCGGTTTCTACTGTGAAACTGGGTAGAGCAAGTCCATTCACTCTTTTGGTGTGGCGGCACTGTGGGACAGCAGAGGCTCCACTAAAGCCTCAGTGAGGGAATCATGGCATCAGTGCTCTATGGCACTACAAATAAGGTTTTTAAACACCAGTAATGGCTAAAAGTATGAGCAAATTAGCAGTGGGAAACATTTTTTTTTTATGTCAAAATGGATTTTAAAAACAGTTTTTCTTACTAGAATGCCCAGCACTATTCCCACTGCTTTGTCCACCATGGGAAGTGTATTGGCTTGTCATGCCAAGTACTATTTCTTCAGAAGACTGTATCACAGGTTCTTCCAAAGGGCTTGGGGATCTAATATGGCTTATCTGTAATGGACTCCTGTATTCTGAAGGCTTGTCAAAGCTACAATGGCATCTAAAGCAGCAGAATTACTATCCACATGTTGCTTCCGTATTTTGATCTGTACTGTAGGCCTGTATGATAAATCGAGTCCTCCGTTAAAGAGGGCACGTATTGCGGTGAGACCTGAAAAACTGACACCCTGTGTTGTGGGTGGGTACGATTGGTCAGCCACGACACCCGATTGGTAGGTCCCTCGAAGCTGGATGCAATCTGGCCAATGGGACACAGTCCAAACAGTTCGTGACCCAGAGCTTCCTCTTTCAGCACGTGCATTCGGAACACCTGCCCACCTCATCCTACTTTTAGGGCTTTTTGCTTGACCTTGCTTTGCCGTCGTGTGTCGTGTGTCGTTGGGACAGAGGCATGGCAGGAATTTTCCCCACTTGGTTGATTGGCTGTTGCCATTTGGGTTTTCCCTGTCATGTAGCAAATCGTCTCAACTTGTAAGGTTTTGGATAGGCTCTGGTTCAGGTAATAGGGATGGGAGAACACCTCGCCATCCCTATGTGAAGGGTATTCCGTTAAAGGAATCCAGGGACTCGATGGTTTGGTCAACCCCTGAGAGGGGGTTGTGCCCATGCCTGAGTCCAGGGGGGCATTTGGGTGGCGGAAATAGCCTGTACCCGGCTTTCCACTTATCCAGGTGTTCACCCTTGGCTGACCTATGCTGGAAGCCTGGGTCAGCTCTACCTGCATGGCAGGAGCTAGTTAAACCAGAGCCTATGCAACCATTCACTTGCTGTAATCAATAAAGTTGTGGCCTAAATTCTGCCAAAAACCAAACCAAAATTTGAGTCATGTAATAATAATAATAATTTATTATTTATACCCCGCCCATCTGGCTGGGCCTCCCCAGCCACTCTGGGCGGCTTCCATAGAAACCAAAAATACACTAAAATATCACACGTTAAAAACTTCCCAGATGTCTTCTGAATGTCAGGTAGTTGTTTATCGCTTTGACATCTGCTGGAAGGGCGTTCCACAGGGCGGGCGCCACTACCGAGAAGGCCCTAAATAAATTCATGTGTGAATTTATTTAGGGGGGAGGTTTCTGGGTCTGAACACGCAATTAACAATTATCACTACATTGAGATACCTTCCAATAACTCTCTGAAACAAAGTACAGTGAATTACAGAAGTACCGTGAATTACAGAATTATGGAACTCAAAGAGTTTGGGGGGGGGGGTTAGGGATTACCAGTGGATATCACTTGTTATTCTTGCAAAGGATTATTGCATCTGAACCAGGAAGCTGCTTCCTGATACTTTTTCATACATAAGAAGAAAGGGGGGGGGACCTTCAGGATACCAGTTTGTGCTTCTCTATGAGTATGCGTTTTACCCGCAGTGAATTGAGCAGAACAGAAGATGAGAGGCAGCAGGGTGCCAAATTCTGGGTTCACACAGGGTGCTGCCAAAATTTGAAAGATCAAAGTCTGCCCATGGGTCCCAGGAAGGGCTTCTTCCGGAGCAGCCGGTGATTGCCTACCTCCTTTACAGCAGGTGGGCCTGTGCCTTCCCAAAACTTGGCATTTTAAATTTAACAATTCTAAAATTATTATTATTATTATTCAAAATATAGTAATCAAATCAATAGTATTTACTATGAGTTTCCTTGTTGAACAATATACAACATTTATGCAGTCACTGAAATTTACTTTCCCTATTTATACATGCTTACAAGGAACAACTAGGCTTTGAGTCATTTTTATCTTTTAAATTATATTTTATTAAGTTTCAACATTTTTAACATATACAGTCAAAACACAGTTTCATATTTTATTTTTGTCCCATCACCCCCACTTTTTACATGAAGTTGTTGTTTCTCTCCTTCTGCTGCACCCTATCTTCTACCTATCAAATCATAACCACAATATTATAATCTAATCTATTATATTTCTAATCTAATCTAACCATTTCATCTTTTGTCTCCCATTCTAATATCAATTTATACATTTTTGAAATCAGTTTTTCTTTTCCTTCAAGTAAAATCAGAACTTCATTCTATAAATGCCTTTTTAAATTATTCATTAATTTCATAATATTGAAACCAATCCATTACCTATTCTTGGATTTCTTCAAACTTTTTCAATTTGCATACATTTCCAGAAAAATACCGTATGTCTATATACCGTATATCTATATCTGCCGTATGTCTCTATATCTGCCCCAATTCTCCATCATATGAAGTTTCTTTTGTGTACTAGTTTCTACAGAGGGAAGCCATAAAGGTGTTTCCCTTTCAAGTAGATCTTGGAATCTTGTCCACACTCCATATGCTTTGAATCATTTCTACTTCTTAGATGTGGGAGCATGATGGAATTCATTGATGCCATTGTGTCTACTCTGTTTGTTTCATTTTTTGGCACCTGGATTTATACCACTATCCTGGCTAAACTAAAGGGCTTCACTAATTCTGAGCTATTCCAGGGCTAGCTGGTATGTTTTCCCATTCTGTACCCACAATCAGTCTTCCAAATTCAGTGGAAGAATCCTTAGTGGAGAACTATCTTGCTCTGCAGCCACAGATCCTGTGGAGAAGAAGGGATAAAGCTCCCCAACACCAAGTGTTTTATAAGTGTGCAATTTCCTTTTGCTGCAGACATCATAAAAGGATAAGCTTCCAGCTGATTTATCTAGGAATATTCCTAATTTTGTAAGCTTTCCGTTCACTTTCAGGCTGGTCCATTGCTCTGTCCGAGCCCGGTAATCTTTCCCATCATTACATCCTATGACCCAGTAGTAATTCTTAGGAGACAGGCTGATATCCCCATTTCTAGAAGCGGTTGCAGAGGCAACTCCCAAGTCCCAGGTTTTCTTCTGATCAATCTCCACCTCCCAGTAATGTCTGCCTTCCAAAAATCCACATTTTGCCAGAATGAATGTGTGGGAGTCAAACCGCTCCTCCCAGTCAGAAACCTTAGAAACATTTCCTGTGTTCCAAACACTTTTGCCATCTTCAGACACTTTTAGCTTTGGGTGAGCTGTCCTGGGGTCCAAGACCACATCAGCTGCAAAGGAAATGAAAGGGCTGAACTCAAAATGCACAGACTGGAGGGTGTTCACAGACTTAAGTGAAAGATGAGATTAACGTATAAATTACGTAAGGTGGTCTGTGGGCATCTCTCTTTTAAGTCACCCGTCTGTGGACCACACTCTCAACTGTATGTCAGACAGCTGCATATTCCTGCATTGCAGGGAGTTGGATCAGCTGATTCTCAGGGTCCCTTGCAACTCTGCAATTCTAGAATTTCATGATATGATGACTAATACAAATATCTATCCAATTTTTTTGCATTGCATGATTCACCCTCTCTCTCCAATACTGCCTAAGCACATTCTGGTCACATTAATGATGGTCATCCTCATTTTTGCATGTGCTTACCTGTCAGTCCATTTCCACATTGATCTACCCTTCCCGTATACCTATTGAAACACATTGTATAAAGTATTTCCCCTCAAAATGTGCATTTAAAAATGTCCATGCTTTTCTTAAGCCAAACAGTATTAGATAAGTAAACTAGTCCAGTAGGTTTGGATCTGGACTAAACTCCAGTCAGCCCCAAACAGTATGACCAATAGCCAGGGATGTTGGGATTTGCAGTCTATCACCAAATGGCAGTACGCAGATTGAGCTACCCATTATAGGATGATTTGAAGAAGCCCAATATCCATTCTGCACATGATTTTGCATCCTCCTCACCTCTGTAGCAACGGGCATCTGATAATTCTGTGAATAAAATAATGAACAGAAAGTTTCATTGGCAAGAATGTGATGGGTACTTTTACCAGTGCTTTTTTCTTAAAAAATGTTTAGGGTACTCTCATTTTGACTGAAGAAAATCACCATTTTATAGTTCAAATTGTGGTAAATAAATACAGTAAATGGACAAATGGACAAAGATTCACAAAATGTTTAGGGGTATGCGTAGTACCCCTACGTCCCCCCAGAAAAAAGCACTGACTTTTACTCATTTTACAACCTACAAAACAGGCACAATTTATTTTTTTGCTCAGTTAAAATATTTCTCCTCTACCCTTCCATGGATTCTAAGGCAGTACATCAAAACTACATCAACACCATGGGTTAACCATGCTTAGAACATACTGTTTGAAATCAGTTGGGTTTAACTTAGTTTCGACTCAGTTACATCTTTTTGATGTCAATAGGTCTTTGCTATGTATGACCCAAGCCTTCTTCCACTGTGGTAAAAGTGTGTGGTGGGTCAGGAGGTGCATGTGTAAGCCCCACGCCCCCACATCCTTATGTTCATGGGCTCCTATCTGATTCCAAGAAAATCAGTTTGTAATCTAGAATTAGTAACAAATACTTGTACCCAAAGAACCCCTTCCACAGATGGAAGTCTTCTTCTGTCAAATGCCTAATTTATGTTTTTAATTTTGCATATTGTATATTTTATTGTTGTAAGATGCTTTGATACCTCTATGGGATATGCATTTTATAATAAATAGGATACTTCTTCCATCAGAAGAAGGGAATCTTTAGTTCAGGTTGAATCAAAATGGAAGGGTTTGCAGGGAGGAGGGTAAATGGAGAAATGTTTTAGATTTCATGTGTAAGCCCCACCCCCCACATCCTTATGTACATGGGCTCCTAATTTAGTCATCCCTTTTCAGGTCTAAAGGGGCTTTAATCTGCTTTCAGCTGAACATACATATAAGCTTAGTGTGCCGCTGAGAACTCCGCCTTGTTAGGGCAGCAAATTCAGATGGTGTTTAATTAAATGCTCAAAGAAGCTGTCTTCAAACCATTTTCACCCCATGCACTAAGGTCTGGAAGATCCTGTATGTAGATGGATATTGTGGGTGGGTGGAGTTTGTTTGTGTTTGTTTGTTTGTTTGTTTGTTCAATAAACCATCATTTATCAAAGGACCACCATCAATACAATTATATTAATACATATTTCATTAAAAATATATATTCTAAAAGCCTAAGTTAGTATCTACTCATCTGAGGCACAACTATAAAGCATAATATTATATATTTCTAAGATGAGGGAAATGCAGCACTGACAGCTTTTTCAAAACTCTGCACAGATATGATATGAAATGAAATTTAGCAGCTGCTGAAATTTCTTTATGTCCAAAACTGATGAAAATTTGATAATACAAAAGCTTGAAGTGTGTCTCTTCTTTGGAACACACCCTTTTTTGTCAATTCCTGGACTAAGTGCAAAGAAAACGGGGGAATGAAGTGATTGTGGCAAGTGTGGTATTTTTTATGATTCAGGAATATTTATTTTCACAACAAATATACAAAATGTTAGACTACTTGCCTTTTTCAATCTTCAAGATTTCTGCAAAGGAAAATTTGCATGGCTTACAAATGAAGAACCTTATTCAGATTAAAAAGGAAAATCAAATTCCAAAAAAAATCAGTTTATAATGTCTTCGCTTATCAAGTTATCTAGAATTAGTAACAAAGACTTGTACTCAAAGGACCTCTTCCACTGACAGAAGTCTTCTTCTGTCAAATGTTTAATTTATGTTTTAAAATTTGCATATTGTATATTTTATTGTTGTAAGATGCTTTGATACCTCTATAGGACATGCATTTTATAATAAATAAATATAATACCCCTTCATCAGAGAAAGGGAACCTTTGGTTCAGGTTGAGTCAAAGTGAAGGGGATGAGGGGAAAGGGGGGAATTACTTGCATCACTTGCATCGGTGGTTTTTTCTTAAGTCTTCGGTGTCAAAAGTGCCTCTTTTCTCTTTTCCGATTTTTAGAGACAGAGAGCACTGCTAGCTGCCATGTCAAGACCAAGTATGGCTGTTTGGCAATGACACAACATTCATTGCACAGATCAAAACCAAACTAGACACATGATGCCCCTATTTTCATCGGAGAAATGTTGGAGGGTATGATATAGTTCTGGGGCATGTTCAAAGTTCTAGCAGACCCAAGCTGCTCAGTAAACATATATGGGATGGCAAAATGGAGGAAGTCACTTGGATTCTGCATGTTCAAGAACAGAAAGATTTTGCAAGACTTACCATTCTCTGCTATTAATTTATCTGCAAAAGAGGGCGGGGGGAGGGGAAAAAAGAATGAATTACATTTCTTTTCTGATTTATAGAGACAGAGAGCTCTACTAGCTGCCATTTCTCCTCAGCAGGTTATGACAATATCACTGCGCCAAATCCAAGTATGGCTCTTGGCAATGACACAGGCTGCTGTTTTGCTCCAAGTAATCCTGGTTGGTGTCTTTGTTTTTGTCCAAGGGAGCCCTCGTATTTTTCCGTTAACATCAGTAACCCTCCCACCCCACCCAAATACATAGGATGGCAAAATGAAGGAAGTCACTTGGATTCTGCATGTTCAAAAACTGAAAGATTTTGCAAGACTTACCATTCTCTGCTTTTAATTCATCTGCAAAAGTGGCGGGGAGAGTGAAAAGAAAGAATTACATTTCTTTTCCGATTTATAGAGACACGGAACACTGCTAGCTGCTATGTCAAGACCAAGTATGGCTGTTTGGCAATGACACAGCATTCATTGCACAGATCAAAACCAAACTAGGCATGTAGTTCTGGGACATGCACAAAGTTCCAGCAGACCCAAGCTGCCCCCCCCCAACACACACACACACACCTCCCACCACATTGGATGGCAAAATGGAGAAAGTCATTTGGATTTACATGTTCAAACCTGAAATATTTTACAAGACTTATCAATTATTGCCCTTGAATCATCTGGAAAGGGAGGGTGGGGGGGAGAAAAAAAAATACTTTTCCTCCACACAGAAATAAAAAGTGATATGTACTAAAAGCAATACAATGTCATTACCGGGGACTGTTCCAAAATCAGGGTGCCTGTGACACATCAGGATTTATAGAAAGACGCTTTGGTGGAATCTACAGACATATAAAAACTGTTCTGAAATTGCTTTTTTTAAAGCATTTTTTAAAATACATTGAATTTTCCATAAGGCTCACCATTGCGATCTAGCGTCACATTGTCTATTGCACTTAAAACGTTTGATTAGCAGCTGTATAGCTGAGTCCTTTATCTGAATTGGGAATTTATATTAATGATTTTTTCTTCTTTTACTATTAAACATTGTTCATTATGAAAATTATAAATACTTTTTTATAAGAAACCAATGTCCCTGGGCCCCAGGTCCTGATGATATTTCATAAATATTTTAGATATTTTCATGCAACCCCCCACCAGCACCTTAGCCTCTCATATCTAACATGCAAAATTCCCTGCAGAGAGGTACATCCTCAAAAACCAGTACTCTGAGAAGGTCTAGCTATATTGAATTCAATGTGCATGGAGGCAGGAGCCCACACACTCTCTAGCCATACTTTTAAAAAGAAGAAAAGAAGAGGTGGAGGAGGACTATGAATTTCTGAAATATCATGAAGCACAATATTAGAGTAAGTCAAGCAGGAAATTCACCTTCAGACCCACTATATTGTGAAATCTTACATTTCTCTGGAAAAACAAGAATACAAATACAGAAAGGTATTATTACTTTATTTTGTAAAACAGGTGTTTTACATAGAGCCTAAGTGCAGAAGAGGAAAGGAAGCAGCATTTCTCCCAAAGGACAGGTAGACGTCCTATTCCTTCCCTCAGCCTTGCCCCAACCTGGCTCAAAATGAGGAGTGTGCAGCTGCACAGGTACAAGCCCTCAGTCAGCCTGGACTTGGGAATTCATAAAGCTGAAGAAAACAAACCGGCCTGTGGTTTGCTTGTCTTCAGTATGGAGCAGAAGCAAGAGAGTCAGTTCAGCTGGGAGGATAATATGTCCTGTGCTGTACACCATCCGATTCCCTCCACAAAAGTTCCTTTCATTGGCAAGGGGAAATTCCCTCATCACCACTAAAATGCCTGAGAGGACTTGGGTTCAGAAGGTGTACTGTGACGCACAACGTTGGTCTGGGGAGATTGGTTCGGGTGCATCTGAATCATTGCTTGCTCGCCCCCAGCCCCCTTCCTAGCCACAACTATTCCTCTGCCTTTTTTTCAGGACTAATCCTCCTTTCCCTATACACTTCCTTCTAATGGTACTTTCTTTTCAAATCTGAATGGAAGTTTGCATGCACAGCTTTGCTTTAGCCTTAATCACTGTACAGCAGTGCTGGTTTTCAGTGCTTTAAAGCATAAATGTACATACATAAATATCCAGAAGCACATCATTCAATCAACTCAAGCAGGAACCTCACCTGGTATTATTCTTCTGCTTTCTTCACCATATCTACTTTGAGAATTCTTACGTTTCTTTCTATATATATTATATATATATTATACTATATTTTTAAGAGTGTGTGCCACATCTGAGAATCCTGGTAGTCTAAACACAGAAGAGCAAAGGGAGGCACATTTCTCCAAAAATGGTAAAGAAAAGACAGGTTGGCCATCCTATTCCTCCCCTCAGCCTTCGCCAAACCTGCCTCAAAATGGCCAAGGATGAGGATGGTGCTGATGCACAGGCACAAGCCTTGGAGTTTGTAAAGCTGAAGGGAACAAACAGGCCTGTAGTTTGTTTGTCTTCAGCATGGAGCTGAACTGGGAGAGGCAATTTAGCCTGGGGGATATGTGGACTGTAGGTGTAAGGAAGGGGCAACAAGGTGAAGTGGGACTGAGCCACAAAGCTCCTTGAGGGAGAATCAGAAACAAATACCAAACAGGGAGATCAGATACTTATTTGTAAATGAAACTGAGTGGGAGCTTGCAATATTTTGCAAAACTGGGTCCTTCAAGTATGAGTCATTGATACATTTTAAAAATCATAGAAACAATGGATGACACTGAAATATCCTGAAGCACAGCATTAGACTTTCTCAAGCAGTACAATGAAGAATTAGGAAAACATATGAGACGAAATGAGTGACTAAGATGTGAGGACAAGCTACACAACTGAAAATCCATATAGGTCCTATGTTGCTTTAAGTACATACTAGATGCAAAACCCACAGTGCTGCTCCCTTGACACACACACACATGGACCCCTTGTTCCTTGTCACTGCCAGGCATCCACCCCCTGGTGCTCCCCACTGCTGGCGGTTCATTTCCTCCTTCTCCACTGCAGCCATGTCCCTCCTATGTATATATTGCAAACTGTTATTATTACATATAAACTCTTATACTAAATTATTTCACTGCCCCAAGAACAATGAAGGATTCATCAGCACAACATCCAGCAAAGTTATTGCAACAGGAGTTCATCAGAATGTATTGTGCTATTATTTGTTTAGCAGTCAATAGGTGGGCCTGTTCCCCATGCTCTTTATTCTACTAGGAACATGGATTTGTTTATTTCATTGTCTATTTTTAAATAATTTTTATTAAATATTTTCTTGGGTAATAAAAGTAGGTACATTGTCTCTATTTTCAGTTCGTAGACTCATTTTGGAATATATATCCACCCTTCCTCCCAAATGCCTATCTGGAGATCGGGAAGGAGAGAAAACCCCAAGGACTCTCTCAGCGCCAACCCAAGTCTGCTGCTGGCCTTTGGTTGTGTATCAAGGAGCTGGTAAGAATGGCTCACATAAGTGCAGGAAAGAAGCTTGCAGTTTATCAAAGACTACAGGCACTTTGTGGCTAGTTATTCATTCAAAGGATACTCACTTGCTTTTCTTGTGCGTTTCTCAGTTTCTACAACAATAAATGAAAAGAGTATATCTTAGCACACATGTACCTAGCTTTTCATTCAGTTCCTGGGATACTTGGTTTAATTTGAGCAGAACACTAGCCTGAAGCAGCCCATCCTCCATTCATTGTAATTTTATAGCCTCTATCCTCCTTTTACCAATATGCAGATTACTTTCCTATGGATACCTGTATGATGTGTGCTATTCTCATAATAAAATCACTTCTATCAAAACTAGGGAAGTAAATTCATTCTAATTTAGTTTGTACCCAGCACAAAACAACCCTGCACCTATTTGTCCATAATTTGGAAGATTTCTTTCCCAGAAATACTTCTTTCATATATGCTGTTTTCATATATGACTGTAAAACAACAAGGCAATTTATATGACTTCTTGTTTGCTACTTCAAACAGAAAGCCTACTCTTGCAAAAACTTTACAGCAGATATTCTTTTTAATTTTGGAAGGATTCATCCCCCCTGAACTGGGGGGGGGCCTATAACATGCCTGACAATTTCATCCAATTCTGCCAAAAATAAAGATTAAAGACCAAAAGGGGAAATAAGCAAAGTAAAAGTTTTACACCAAGCATAGAGGACGAAAAACAAAAAACAAAAATCAGAAATGAACACCACTGATTATTCTTGCCAAGGACTCTTGCGTTTGAACCTGAGGAATACCAGCATGTGTCACTGTCAGATGGTAGGAAGATTCTTGATTAGTGAAGCCTGGTATAAGTCCCTGGAGTCTGGCCTTTACCAGGTCAGCAGCACCTTCAGCTGTTGTGCCTTAGTCTGTGGGTCATGCCCCTTAAAAACGACAAGCAAATTCTACTTTATTTCCATGACCTGCCAATAGCAATGGATAGATCTACAAATTTTGGTTTCTCTCCATTTTTCATTTTTAATCTTAAATTTAGTTTGCCATGATCCTGCATTTTTCTTCATGAAAATTCATCAACATTTCAGTCCTTATTTCTCCTAATACACATATTTTTGAAGGCAATTTCCTTTAATATGATGCATTATTTTCACTAATACGTGTATTTTTGGGGTACACTTTCCTCTAATGTATTTCTGGTTGAAAAAATGAATTACAAAATGCAATAAATTGGCATTTTGGTTTCCATCTTGATTTGCTAAGTCCAATGCAGGTAGATCCACATTAAAATGTAAAGCACATTGAATTTCCCAACTATCTATTGGGGAAGTGACTCTGATTGCCTGAAGCAGCTTTTAAACTATGCTCATTTTAAGGCAGTTTAAGGAGCTATTACTGGCTGTAGTAAATACGTATTGATTTAACTGGTATGCATTTCTTCTCTGTATCCAAGAACACACCACTCATTTTTATAAACATAGGTGCAAAAAAGAAGGTTTCTGTAACAGTTCACATCTACAGTTAAATGACAGTAAGAAAATGACAGATTTAAAATACTTACGTCTCGCTTTGTCCTTACCACAAAGAAGAAGGCAGATGGAAAGCAATATAATTATTAGGAAGGGTCCTAGCCAAGGGAAAGTGGTAGGATAAAGGGCACCTGAAACACACATTAAAATCTCAGTTACAGCCACATATTTCTCCTGAAGAAGATTTCAAGTTGCAAAACTAACCTAACCAGAGTCTGCCTTTGCCACTCACCTTCATGGCCCCAAACTCTCCTGAACTTCCTATTTTGGGAGGGATTGATCTGATGTTGTGCTGGTGGGGGGGGGGGGCTTCAGCTGTGACCTGCCTGCCTCTCTGCTGAATAGTGGATATGGGATATAAGCCAGAAGACACTTCAGCCATTACCCCAGATGATAACTGATGAAATGCTGCTGAGCAGAACTACAGTGTTACTTCCAGTTACGAACTTGATCCATTCCGGAGGTCTGCTTTTAACCCAAAACTGTTCTTAACATGAGGCGCGCTTTCACTAATGTCACCTCCCGCTGCTGCCACACCGCTGGCGTGTGACCTCCGCGCACATCCCGGGGCAAAGTTTGCAACAAGGGGATCTACTTCCAGGTTAGCAGAGCTTGTAACCCAAAGCATTCGTAAGGAGGGCGGTACGTAATACAAGGTTCCACTGTACAGTTGTAGATAATCTGGATAATCCATTCAAACAAAGAGCATGGTGTACTTCAGAGGCATCAAAATCGAATAAATTTCCCAAACCTCTCTCCTCCTATAGTACTTGTACTGAAAACACATTGAAAGCCCTTGGCCCTTGGCTGAAAGCCTCTTGGCCCTTTTGCTTCACCCCTACTCACCAGAAATCAGGATTCTTGACTCACTCTCCATCTCTAGCAGTTCGTTGATGATATTGCAAGAGACTTCATGGTCAACTCCTGATTCTGTTGTAACGGAACTGGAAACACTGAAGTTCCCTGCCTTGGTATCTGTGACTGTAGTGTCTGACTGTTTACTTCGGACTTTCCCTTCCCTGTCCAGCCAGAAAGCCTTGGGCTTTGGGTACCAACCGTTGGAGCTGCAGGTGAGGCCAATCCCCCAGCCTTTATAATCCACCAAGGCAATGGTGGGCTCTGTTCCTTTTGCTGCACAAGAAGAACACCACATATTAATTTGCCATTGCTCCAAGTATCATAGAACCTGTCTAGAACACATGGATCAAAGATCTGAAGAATAGGACTATACCTATACAGTTGTTGGAAGGAAGAAATAAAATATAAAATTGCAAGATCCACTGGTCACCATTTATTAATTACTGTCAACAGTTCTGTCTACTTTATTTAAATAAATATAGGCATTTTTGTACATTAATCTTCATGTAATGTACTTTGGCTTTGTTAAAACTTAATTTATGCTATGTATACCAAGAATGGTATATATTATGCAAATCTGTGTCCTCTTTTGCAAGTGGGTCAGAGGGTCGTATTCAAAACAGTGTTTTGTTTTGTTCTTCCTGGTAGCCAAGCTATTTTTGAAGTTTATTTTTCTAATATGCATTTTTGTTATTCTGATTATCTTGTTTTGAACTTACTTTATTTATATACATATTACATTTATTGCACACCACTTTTCAGTTAATGCACTTGAGGTCGTTTACAATTTTAAAATAGTAGATCAAAAATGTAGTGACAGAGACCTCTCAGGGTGACTGACAACTGATGGCATTTGCTCCTGGCCTTGGCTTCCTTGCCATCCCTCAGGGCAGATGAGGGAAGGGGAATGAGGGCTGTCCCAGAAGTTTTCTCAGGCCACCTATCAGGATCTGATTTGCCATGCTCCCTAGCCTGGGCATCCCAGTTTCTGATTTTCCTCAAGGAAGACAGTAGCCCTAGGGACACTGCGGGAGGGACTGCTTCAATGATTCTGTCAGGTCAATTGGATAGTTTTGTCAGAAATCAATGATATGGACTCTCTGGCCTGGGCTCACTTGCTTTTATGGGTTAATATATTTAGTGATTTTTTGGTCATGCATTTGATGTTTATTTCTTTGAACACAAATTATGTGGGGAAACGGTACACAAACAATTTGGCAACGATACAGGTAAGTCTTTTTTCACTTTCCTGTAGAGCTGGAAGGAAGTTGAAAAGGAGATTGCTACTTATAAAGTATATGTTCACTCCAGTGTCCCCTTTTGTGTTTCTTCTAATCTTTCTCCATAATTTATTATTATTTTAAATAAAACAAAGGGAATTATAGCTGTGTATTTCCAAACCACAGAGCCTAGAGCTTGCCGATCACAAGGTTGGCGGTTCGAATCCCCGCAACAGCGTGAGCTCCCATTGCTCAGTCCCTGCTCCTGCCAACCTAGCAGTTTGAAAGCATGTCAAAGTGCAAGTGGATAAATAGGTACAGCTCCGGCGGGAAGGTAAATGGTGTTTCTGTGCGCTGCTCTGGTTTTGCCAGAAGCGGTTTAGTCATGCTGGCCACATGACCCAGAAGCTGTACACCGGCTCCCTTGGCCACTAAAGCAAGATGAGTGCCGCAACCCCAGAGTCATCCACGACTGGACCTAATGGTCAGGGGTCCCTTTACCTTTACCTTTATTTCACCACACCAGCAGAATGTATGTGTCAACTAAAGCTGTTTTCTATAGGCACACTTATCTGAAAATGAGGCATGTATAGGATTTTACTTTTGTTTTTATATAATACATTTTATGTTCTTACCCTATTTCAGTTTAGATCTGATAAAAGAAATGTATTGCATATATATATATATATATATATATATATATATATATATATATTCAAAAGCTATCTGCTCTGTCTCTATTGCAAGTAGACAGATTATGTTCCCCCCCACATACACACATCTTGTCAGCATTTCAGATAATCGAATACACTGCTCCAATATTGTTAAACCATAATACTAAATTTAAAAAGTTGCAGGTAAATTGTGTTGTGCAGCACCATGTATGCATGTGTGACATTAACATATGAGAGAGTGCTGGGGGTGAAATAGTTAAACAGGTTGCCCAGTCAGGACCCAGGGGGATGGAGTCAAATGGACTATAAAACCAGCTCTGGGCAGGGCAAAGGGGAGAGTTCGTAGGGGAGATCGTGGAGGAGTTCATTGGGAGTTGGATGGTTGGTTGGAGTGGGAGTAAATTGGGATAGAGTCTGTGGGTAGGTTGAGTCAGTGTAGCGAAATAAGCTGAGTCAGGAATACTTAGGGGCTAGGAGGACAAGTAAATATCTGAGAGGTGGTTTAGTGAGTGAGAGCAGGTAGCAGAAGTTATAGGTCTGGATACGCACCCCATAAATGTAATTGACTGATACTATTTATGAAACTACACGCTTGTTAAACAGCAATAAATAAACAAAAGTTTATGTTTCAATTTAACCCTGACTGGACTCAGTATTGTACCAGGTAGGGCCTGGGTGGCAGCAGCGAGAAATAAAGTGGTGGCACAGGGATCAATACATGGTGAAACATCCGGGGACCCGGTGTGATCACCACAGCATGTCACACAGTTACTGCTCTTTATGTCCTACACCACTCACTAATCCACTTTCCTCATGTAAATGTTGATATAGAGCTTTTCACAACACAGCATATTGAGCTATAAGAAATATTTCCATAATGGGAAACTGCATCGTCTAAAGTGAAAAACAGTTTTTGTAGAAAGGGTCTAGAATTGGCTGGTTATACATATGTACTGAAATGAATGACTATATAGGAGATCCATATTTAACTAAAGAGCTTGAAAAGCAGGACAAACCGTTCAAGTTAAGAGATGGTCAATGTCATCCCCAACTAAGAAGACCAGGAACTTGGTGGGGAAAAGTCTGAGACGTCCCATGGCAGAGCTAACTCTGTGTGCCAAGGGATAAATATCACTTGCCAGTGTCAAATGGGAGTGGCAGAGAAGCAGCCATTTCATGTCCATTACAAATGAAAGAAGCAATGACGAGCATTCAGGCTTGTGTGGCTAGGAAGGATCTCTGCAGAAAGGAGAAAGTCACTTTCATTCTTCTTTCAAACACACACACATTTATATTTGTAAACTTACATTTTGCATGGAAGCCCCTGAAATTTATTATCATAAGTATATTTGCAAATGTGACTTGAAAGTTTCTACATGAAGATAAACTAATCCTATATATCCTGAATGAAAGCACAGGAAAATCTTCTCTCCTTTCACCTCACCACCAATTCATCATTAAGCAAACACATTCCAATAACTAAAAGAATGAAATGTAATTCTGGAAATATTTTTCTTACCTTGTAGCAAACTGTGAGATTTGTTCGTCAGTTCCTGTACCTTCCTCCCGCTTCAGGTGGACCTGTGTTACGTTAATTATTTACTTTGATTTTCCTGCTCTGCATCAAGATAAGTAACTGCCGCTGTGGATGTACAACCTGACTGTCTGACTCTAGGCACTGCGGTCATCTGCAAGGGATTCCCATGTGACCGGGTTAATGTTGGCAGCCTTCATGTCACATCTACAGACATGTGATGTACACAACTACATTTACTCTTAGATCCTGAGATTGAGAAATGACATCTGTCAAGAGCACACAATGTCAAGTTCTCATGGGCTTTCTTCCTGGAGCTATGTCTCATTGTGCCACCACCAAAGGGTTCTTTAGAGCAGGTACAATGGAAATCTGGGCACAGTCCAAGGTGTACTAGCTGCTTGCAAGGTAGAACAGCACCTGAGCCCTTGAACTGGTAAGCGGTGGCTTTGCAGGATGTCTCCACTGCCCCCAATGAGATCCACTGATGGATACCTCTAACAGTAGTCTCCTGCTTGTGGAGAAGCCTATTGGCTCTCTCCGCTGGTTAGAATTCAGGGTTCAACATCTTCTGAAGGGTATCAAGTTTGAGAAGGTTGATTTAAATCGATATGATGGATTTAACTGTGCCACTCTCTTATTGCTTACCAGTATATTTAAATCTCTGCTTCTAAACACACAGTCTTTTGTTGTGGTGTAAGACTTTCCAGTAACTCCCCCTTTCACTGTCCAGCTTTCAGATACATGGCTGTCAAAGTTTCCTCCAGAACTTTTATTTTCTTCACCTTTGCTCAATGGTAACATGACATGCAGCGCACCCAGTAACTAACAAGGCTTTCAGCTAAACAGCTGGTGAAATCCAGATATGTGCTTATGTAAGATTTACTATGGGCAGCTACAATATATATGTGACCTGTGGACTTGTTGGATATTGTTGGTGTGTATGTGTATAAATATTACTAGAACCACTTTATATGAGATTAAGAATGGACTCATTTCCTACTCGGCTTGTTAAAGTATTATCATTGTTGTTGTTTTGTATTTGAATTTCAAACTTCATGAGTCTACACATTTGAAAGTGAAACAGGGGCACCCACCTTTATGGTAGGGGCTTCAGCGCACTCTGGGACCTCCCAGGTATGCAGAAGTGGATATATTTTAGATAAAACATGAAATAAGAACTGAGACTATTCATTGGCTTCCAGGACCATGAGGCTGTCAAATCAGCCTCTTGAACCCCAAACACTATAAAGTATCCTTTAGGGAGAATTACAGTGGGATGACTACCAGAAACTGTTCACACATAAACAGCAGTAAAGCAGTTAGGCTGGGGGTGGGGGTGGGGAGGGGCTGTTGCTGTCTGTAACCCCTATCCCTGAACTGGCAAGTGAGTGTGGGCCCAGGTTTTGAGAATTAGGCCCTAAGTCACATGATCATGCTAGATTGCATTTGGAATAAGTGCACACCTCTCCTTGCCCCATCATGTCCCTACCACCCTCTTGTTACACTTACACTGACTTATGTTTCACCAGTAGGGATTTATGCTGATATATATCTCTAGCTCAGCCAGAACACGGATCTTAACCAGCATTGCCCTGGCTCACCCCTGACTCAGCTGGGAAAATCTAATAACAATAATAATTATAATATATTTATATGCCACCCATCTAACTGAGTTACCCCAGCCACTCTGGGTGGCTTCCAACAAATTAAAACACAACATGACATGAAACATTTAAAACATCCCTATACAGGGCTGCCTTCAAATGTCTTCTAAAAGTCAGATAGTTGTTTATTTCCTTGACATCTGATGGGAGGGTGTTGCACAGGGCAGGCGCAACTGCTGAGGGCTCTCTAAACTCTCTTATCCGGACAGATCCTGGGCTTCGACCGCACTGCTAATTTAGAATATAGGATAATCTCCAACATTCTCATGTGTGAAGGAGAGATTGATTACTTCATCTTCCTATATAACAAACCAATAGGCAAAATACATTTGCCACGATTTCTATGCTTTCTATGATATCCATATTTATAGGCCTAGGATGTCAGCAAGCAGAATTCCCAGGCATTTTTATTGTGTTGAACAGACAAGTGTACCATTTTTATTGTGTTGAACAGACAAGTGTACCATTTTTTTTGTGTTGAACAGACAAGTGTACCATTATTAACACAACAGAATGAACATCACTTTCATAATTCCATATACCTGTGGTTACATCATTTAATGTTTGACATTATCAGTGAAACTGCAATCAGACACAACCAGGAGGATATGGTAGAATTTGAAGGTTAAGTGCATATAACAGTAGGAAAACACATAAAGGATCCTTGCGTGGTTAGAGGCAGGAAAGAGTAAATAAAATAAACAGAAAATCGGATGAAAATCTTCTCAGATCTTCTGGGGCCTGTCAAGCTTCCAAATTCCTCCAATTCTAGCACTTTCAAACTTCTTCCATATTATCAATTCCCATAAATTGTCATGCATTGTGAGGAGGATGCATCGGCATGTGAAATGTTGGAGGTCTCACAGGCAGGTTGCATGTACAATGGAGTAATAGTTGCATAGGCTGTTGTTTCTGTATTTCGGGATGGTGATCGCTTGGAAATTGAAAAACAAAAAAATTACAGTTACCTACTGATATTGGCTGTTTGGCAGAAGTAATTTGGGGCCAATTGTTGTTATGGCAAGAAAAAACTGTTAACCTACCCAAAGAATATCTGGAATATATTTGTAGTTTTACACAGTATTCCAGGGTCCTTGGTACATTGGTGAACCCAGAGGGGGGGGTGAGTGGGGCAAACTACAATAGTCCACTTCCTTGGGTAATACCAGGCCAATGCAGAGCTTGTCTGAGGACCAGGGAGGGAGTTTTGTTAGAATAAAGTTTTTGGCATGACAGTGTAAGTCCAGCAGGTCCCTGGCAGGGTCCCCCAGCTAGCTTAGCCCTCCGAGTCCTGGAGCAAGTATACCAGACAGCCCCCTACCCCTGAACAGCCCTGGGTAAACTAAACAGAGACAGAATTGAATAAGGTCTACTGCACTAAGACAGTGTAAGTCCAGCAGACCCCTGACACCCCGCCTCCCCCTCCCCCTAGCCAGCTTAGTCCTCTGAGTCCTGGGGCAAGTGTATTGGGCAGCCCCCTACCCCTGAACAGCCCTGGGTAATGCACTATATAAACCCCAGATTTGGCTGAGATGTTTTACTCACCGCTGTTTGGAGGAGTCCTGTAAGTTTGGCATCTGAAGACAAATTCACAGTTAGTTTAGTCACACAGTAAAATTTCAAGGATGTGTATAAGTATGTGTACTTCTGCGTACAATCGTAACATGTATCAACCTTTTAGGAGTGGTTCATCCCTGATCATTAGGCTCTTTCTTGAAGCAATCATTTGCTTCAAAGACAACAATGCCCATGCAGCTCCTCAAGGTCATTGCCATCACTGACACCTCCTATTAGTCCTGCTAGTATTGAGTTTCTCCAGGGAAAGATGTCTGAAAATCAATCAGATACTGAGTGATCACAGAAATGCCAGCACTGACACAAACACACCTCACAGGCCCCATTCACTCACCAATTTGCCAATTTGCTTTCCCAATTTGCTTTTCCAGAGCAGAAACACCTCTCGTTTGCTATGTCAAGACTTGTTTATGCCCTACTCTTCAAAAAGAAAGAGGCAGGGTGTGTGTAGCTCCTTGGATCAATGTCTCAGCCCACTCTTAGCCATACAATTCAACTGTTGTACCTTCACTCTTGCTTTGCCTGGGTACCACCCAGGTCTGTGCATTAAAGGGTTTGACAGAAACAGAAAGTTTGAGTTCTTCATCTGAAAGTGAGGGTCAGGACAGACATTTTGGCTGAGTCTGATGAGAGTTATAATCCATCAGTGTCTGGACAGCTGAGCTATCCTGAGAATGAATCTGACTAAAAGGTCAGGGAGGCAACAGAAACAGTTGTATAATATAGGCCTTCAAAAATAGTTCTCTTGAAATGAGTATCACATTCAAAATCAGCTGTTCTGGTAAGGCTACATTGAGAGAAGTCTTCCAAAACAGCTATGTGGGCATCATGCTTGTTCAATCTGTCTTGTGGGTGAGGAACCACAGTGAGAGCATTCTCTCCCACAGCCCACAACTTCTATAAATAAGCCCATTCTACCAAATAATGTGTTACAATTGTTGTAGGCAGGCCTGAACCAGAAGCTTCACTGATTTACTAATAACTGCAGAAAAATCTAGTTTCTCCTGGAGACATAAGGGTTTACATCTGAGCTCATTGGAATGCAGCTGCATAACAAAATAAAACCATTGTACCTTCCATTAGGTTTGGATTTTGGATTTAAATAGGATTTTTAAAAACTTAATTAATTTTGTGGTTTTCATGTTCCAGAACGTAATATTTGTATTCTAAAACTAAATTCTGCCTTTCACACAGAAACCTCCAGGGGATTGTATAGCAATACTAAAAAGTTACACCTGAATTCAAAGTTGTTAATCATTCATTTTAGATATTTCAAACACACATTACAGTCACATGATTAAGTGAAGCGCATAACTCTCTTCCTAGTTTTTCAGCAGAAACATGTATATACTCGGTTTTAGAGCATTTTTCCACAGTTGCAAAGTCTGCAAACTTAACTATTCAGACCAAAAATAGATAAAGCTGCTAAACATTCTGCAGATCCTCTGATTGTGTGCTAGACTTTGTGGTTGTCATGACCCTCAGTGAAAAGGGAGAAAAGAATTATCTTACATTGAACTTCTTCAGAGGCCAGGTTTCTGCTGTTGTCCTTGACTGCAGTTCCTTCCCTAAGAAAAACAAGAGACAAATGCATTTGTGATGCTGCATATTTACTGGTTCTGTAGGTAGAAAGCCTCTTCTGAGAAGGATGAGATCTGCATTCCTTCACACAACCATGAATGATACAAATGCAGGAGATCTGAATTTCTAAGCTTGGTTTAGTCACATGAAGCTTTAAATCTGATAAGAGCAGAAGCAACAGCAGAATTGTTTAGGCAACAGCAGAAGGTTCTTGTA